CTACAAATATCTGATACACAATTCAAAGCCTTTTGCTGAAGACCAGATCACAGGATTCCATAGACTGGAACCATGGCAGTTAAAGTGGAATTAAACTGTTATATATATAGTGCAGATGCACCTCAGCCAATAAACTCTAAATTGTGAAGTGCACCTATATTACCCAGAGTCAGATCCCACTTTTAACTACCATGTCTTTTTCTTGCACTATCATGGGATCCATCATTTGCTGAGGGACTTAGAAATCTCCGCTCCAGTCTGGAGGAGTGCACTAGAACTCCCTAGCAGGGAATTCCAGGTCCCTTAACCAGACAATAAATCTCAGGATTCCTTAGGACGGAGCCATAGTAAATGAAGTGCTATTCAGCTGTGTAGTGTAGATACAGCCCTGGCCTAGTATTAAAAAAGGGAGTCCAGCCTCACCATGGCATTGGATGATTCCCATTCATCCTCTCGAGGCCACAAGAAAAGGATTGGAAACTTCAGGTTTAGATTAATTACATTTTAGAGCAAGGATGATGAAAGCCCGGCCCACATGAAAAATCTTGCCCTTCCACCTTCCAAAGTCCTTCTCCATATTTTTCAAGCAACTGTTACACCCAAAAAAACTTGATAAGGAACTAGAGAGAAGGGAGGGATACATACTTAATATATATGAGGCTTGGACATTCTTCAATGAGCCTTGCAACATATTTGGCTCCAATGTCAGTAATCTGGTTGTTATACAACCTTTGGGAAGGCAAAGAAAGATGAGTCAATGCAGGTTTATGAATGTGCTCTTTTTGAAGTAACTGAACTTTTGTATCAAATATATACAATCTATTTTTTACACAAAAGTACAGCTGGACCAGAGCAAGGGTGCGGTGGAAAAATATCATGAAATAGCTGTTTTTCTTCAAGGCTAAAATCTGGGTGCAAGCCCCATCAAAACAAGTGGGACTTACTTCTGAATCGACCTGGATAGAGTTTTGTTTTAAAATGGGATTGTCATGAAGGGAGTTGTAGTCTATCACTGACTGGGAATTTCAGTCCAAGACATCTGGATGACACCAGGATCAATAAGGATGCATTATAGTGCATCCTTACTGAAATGTGGTGCTGAAGGATAGCTTTGCAGATACTCTGGACTGCCAGAAAGACGAACCAGTGGGTCCTAGATCAAATCAAGCCTGAACTGTCTCTGGAGGCAAAAATACTGTCCTACTTTGGGCTCATCATGAGCAGGCAGGATTCTCTGGAAAAGACAATAATCAATAAAGCTGGGAAAGGTGGAAGGTAGCAGGAAAACAGGAAGATCAAATATGAGATGGATTGAACCTACCACCACCCCAAAAGGAAGCCACAGGCTTGGGTTTACAGAAGCTGGGCACGGCTGTTGAGGAGAGGATCTTTTGGAGATGGCTCATTCATAGGGTTGCCACAAGTCGGAAGCGACTTGATGGCACATAACAATAACAATAGTGGAAACAACTTGGGAGGACAAGAAGCCGTCTTCCACTGCAGAGGCTATTTTTCATGATAGCCCATTGCTGCCTACATTGACTGGTAGCTGCCCTCTCCAATACTCAGGCCAAGTCTCTTTACCTGATCCTTGATCTTTCTGATTTAAATTCAATTTCTAATTCAATCTACAGCTGACCCACTGAATTAACAGGATTTACACAATGGCTGAGTGACCATTCAGCAATTAATTTGGTTAAGTGTATTCCAGATGTGACTAGTGACTGGACAACATGGACATGTCATTGCCTCAAAATGTGCCCAGCTGAACGTATGCACATTCAGTAACTTTGCGGTGATACACTGGATGTGGGCTGAGTGGCAAGAAGTCCTTGCGGAAGCAATTTGGCAACTAATGTGGTGCAATACCAATGTCATCCCCTATTCACAACACTTCCTTTGGTCCAGAGAATGGGCACTTCATCAAACAGCTCAGAGCTTGTAGTTTGTACCTACCCCAAATGAGTCACAATTTTATATTTGGAGAGTTCTTCATACAGCACTCTTATGCCTTGATCTGTGATCTGGTTCGCACTTACTCTATATGAAACAGAGACACGGGGGAAACAAATGATCTTTGGTATACACATTAGAAAAAGATAGTCCTCATTTTAATAGGCAGCCATGTGGGGTTTTTTTAGAGTTCTTTGCAGAAGCATGGCTTGGACTTTGTAACAAGATGGCCTCATAGCATTCCCACCCTTTCTTAAATACAGCACTCAAGAAGATAAAATTTGAACACTGTATAAAATGAAATCTAGGACAATTCACTCCACGAACAATCCCACAAGCAGGCTGCTTTTCTAAAGATTATTCTGAATATATCTTCCTGAGCCCTACAAAAGAAATTCTATGTAGGCATATCCTTATAATGTTCCTTAATAAGCAGGGCTAAATATGATGTGAGAATCTACCTCACGTGCCACATGACTGCAAAAAAAATTTGTTCATAATTCAGCATCAACCTGAGAACCACAGCTTTGATTTAATACAAGAAAGGTTTTCAGCCATCAAGTTGGTGTGCGAATGGCCAGTGAAATCTCAGTGGAAGACAAAGATGAGTGGGGCTAGACTTTCCTTTGCAGAGGATGGGATGTCAGTGCCGTACCAAGGTCCTTATTCCTCCCCACAATAATCAGAAGAATATATCGTATTTTTTTAAAAAAAGGTGGGGGGGGAAATATACTTGCAGAATCCAGCATTTCTTGGTGCAGTTCTAGTTCCATATAGACCTATTGTGCAGACGACTAAAAGCTGAACCACATTCTAGCTCTCTTGCCACCTCTCAGGTACAAGGTGACCTGCTCAGCCTGCCTTCCACTCTCTCTCTCGGATGTTGCTAAATGCCAGATCTGCTCAGAATAAAGCCAAACTTGTTCAGGACCAAATCCTGGACATGGGGGCAGATCTGTCTTATATCACTGAAACCTGGGTGGGGTGCTGAAGGGGGCATGGCCCTGTCCTTAATATGCCCACCTGGTTATACCATCTAACAACACAGGAGACTGGAGGGACGGGGTGGGGGAGTAGCCATGGTTTATAAAAACACCTTAGGGGCTGTCAGGCTCTCTGCTCTGGCGATTCCAGGCCTGGAGGTCCTCCACGTATCTTCAGGGGCAAGGGATGGACTTGGGATTGTGCTGGTTTATCATGCTCCCCGCAAACCAGCACTCTCCTTTCCAGAGCTGGCAAACTTCACCGTGGTGGTGCTGTTAAGGTTCCCCAGACTCTTGGTTCTGGATGACTTCAACATCTAAGCTGACTGAAGTTTTGGGGCCAGCTCTTGAGTTTTTGGAAGCCATGAGTGCCTTGGACATGTCCCTTTTTATGACTTCAACATCTAAGCTGACTGAAGTTTCGGGGCCAGCTCTTGAGTTTTTGAAAGCCATGAGTGCCTTGGACATGTCCCAGTTTGTCAACAGCCCCACCCACATGGATGGCCACATGGCCAACAGGGCAGGGAGAGGGTGGCCTGAGGGTGACTGATCTGGTATCTGTCCCCTTGTCATGGCCGGACCACCATCTGATAAAATTCAGTCTCTCAGTGGCTCTCCCCTGCCCCACAGGGAGATGGGACCCATCAGAATGGTCCGCCCTCGCAGGCTACTGGATCCAGTTGGTTTCCAGGATACAATAGGAGGAATACCAGCTGATCTGGTTGGTACTCCTGTCAAAGCTCACTTCACTGGATGGTATGCTGCAGGGACCTAGGCAGCTGACTTGATTGCACCCAAGTGCCCTCTCTGCGGCCAAGCCCATTCTGCCCCATGGTGCTCTCAAGAACTACGGGTGATGAAGCAAAATAGGAGAAGGCTAGAGAGCATCTGATGGAACTTAAATTAAGAGTTGCAAAAATTGTGACCAATGCCTATTCAGCAGACGTGAAAGCTGCTCGAATAATTTACGCTGTCTGGATAAGTGAGGTGCAAAACCACCAGGTGGAATTATTCCACTTTGTGATTTATCCAGAGCTGGTTAAGGTGTTGGGCCTCCTAGCAGTCTCACCTGTGACCATTTTGCGGCATTAAAAAAACAACAAAGTAGAGGCCATCTGCGGGACCTAGACTGCCATACTTTGGCAGTAGCTCAGGTTGAGATGTCCACTGCACCAGCGTGTCTGGTTATATTACATCAGTTTCAACCTATTTCAGCATCTGAGGTTAACAAGGCACTAGATCGCTGCAGGGCTGCTGCAACCTCCCTAGATCCTTGCCCGACCTGGATTTTAGAAGATGCCAGGCTAATAACAACAGAATGGGCCACTTCTATCATTAAGGCATCTCTCCTTGAGGGTTGGGTCCCCCAAACTGCAAGGTGACATTTATCAGGCCCATCCAGAAAAAAAACCTTGATAGCTGATGAATGTAACAACTATCATCCAGTCGCCAATGTTCCTTTTTTAAGCAGGCTAGTGGAGAGGATAGTGGCCAACCAGATTCAGGCACTCTTGGATGAAACCAATGCCCTCAATCCATTCCGGTCCAAGTTTAGGCCACGTCATGGCACAGAGACGGCATTGGTCGCCCTGCATTATGATGTCCTCGACCTTTTAAAGGCGTTCGATACCATTGACCATGGCATCCTCCTGGGGAGGCTCTCTGGAGTAGAGATAAGTGGCCTGACTTTGTCCTTGCTCTGGTCTTTCCAGGAGGACTGCCCCCAGAAAGTGCAACTTTGGGAGATGGCCTCCACCCCTTGGATTCTCGACTGCGGAGTCCCTCAAGGGTTGGTCATCTCCTTGTTGCTGTTTAATATCTATATGAGGCTGCTAGGGGAAGTAATCCGGAGATCTGGAGTGGCGTGTCACCAATATGCTGATGACACACAGCTCTATCTCTCCTTTCTTTCTTCAGTGGGTGTTGTCCCGTCCCTTGAGCACTGCCTGGCTGTGGTACTGGAATGGATGGGGGCCAACAGATTGGTGGTTTCAAAATGGCCGCCGGGTAAAAAAAATGGCTCCCCACTCTTTTCTGGGACGGATTCCTCGCTGCACGGGCAGAGAAAATGGCTGCGCTATGGAGGATCTTCGCTGGATGGTGAGTTTCAAGCTCACAGGAACGCATTAATCGGGTTTTAATGCATTTCTATGGGCTTTTTTATTTCACATTACGATGTTTTCGTTCTACAGCAATTTCGCTGGAACGAATTAACATCATAATGTGAGGCACCACTGTACTTTATTATTTCTAGTTTTGTGATGTTAAATGCTATGTGGTGATATTTATATGCTCTAAACCACCCAGAGTGGCCTTGGCCAGATGGATGGTATAAAAATTAATTAATTAATCAAATGAATAAATAAATATTTTTCACAGCCCTGATTTCAAGCATAAATATAGATATGTCTGATCCAATAAAAATTTAACTCTGTCACCCCAAAAACTATGCTTTATTGTGGCAAAAGCAAGAAATACACTTCAAAATTCTCTCCTTGCTTGAGAGGAGACTTCCTGACCTGTTACATCACAGCTTTCCATGATGTCCCAATTGTGGTTTGCAAACTAGGGTCACAGATAGTGATTAAATCACAGTTTCCTGGTTTGATGCTGTAGGAAACTGTCATTTAGCAAACCAGGAAGTTTCCTCTCAAGCCATTCATTGCGTTAAAAGGACAAGACAAAGAAAAGAGGACTGAAGACTCTAACCACAATAGGCCAACAATCTTAGATTTGAAGAATCAACACCTCTCACTGAAACAGAAATGAAGTCCAAGAGCTTACCTCAGTACTGCTAGCTTGCTAAAACAAGGCAGCAGCTGCTTTATTCCATAATCATTGATGTTGTTGTTGTCCAGCTCAATGGCCAGCCGTTTCTGGAAATGGTGCATGATGAAGGAGATGGCTCCACAGTCTGCAGAGCAGACATTGCAATAGGTCAGCTTGATGTAGGTGGCCCGCATGCCCTTGGCAACCCCCTTGCCAATTTTTTCACTCTGGGTCTCATGGATGCACCTCAGCATCCAAACAAAATTAGGCATCACTTGAATCTGCTTGTATTCTTTTTGCTTTGCCCGAGTGAGGCCCTTGAGGTGGGACTTCATGATTTCAAAGAAATAGGTGAAGAGCACCTTCCTTTTCCTCTTAAGGGAGGCTGATGAAACCAGTTGCTTCATGAGCTTGTGCTTTTCCTTGGAGAGCAAGCCACAGAGGAAGAGGTTGGTAAAGTGGAAGTGCTCATTGTTCTGGAAAGGGTCTTGTCCTCTTGGGCGCTGCTTCTTCAGCCAGGCAATTGGCAAGCACGATGACAGTGGTGTGTCAAGAGTGGAGCATTCCTCAAAGAAGTGAAGCAATTCCTTTGCACCTACTTTCTCCTCAGTGACCAGGAACAAAGCAGTGAAAAAGGACTGTAAAGTCACATGCAGGAATTCATACGAGGATTGATATTCACAGCCTTCATAGTCAGGAACTGCCCTAAGGAAGCCCAACTGTAAATCCTGCTCAGAGAGGTCAGTGAGAACTTCATCTTGCTCAAACACAAACAGAGACTTCTGCATCCCCCTCTGTGCTAGTTTGCTCAGTGCACACAAAGTATCCTTGCTGGTCCTATATGTCTCCAGTTGACTCCTAGTATTCTTCCGCAGCAAGTTTGTCTTCTGAGCCCGGTTCAAGTGAACTTCAGTCATGAGTAAGAAGATGTCTGTTAAAGTGACTGTGATATCTGGGAGCTCCTGGCTGTCAAATGCGGAGTGGAAATGATCAAAGCATTTGAAAACAATCCAGCAAAATAAAGGCACTGAGCATAAGCTGCACAGATTTGGGTTGGCTTCCAGTTGGTTGAGAACCAAAGTCCGGCACCCTTCATCTTTGAAGAATATTTTGGTATATTCTTTCAGATTATTGCTGGAAAACCCTAAGAGATGCACCTTTTTCCTGACAATATTTTTGTCAATTTCTGACCCTGTCCTTGCTGTCAGGACTTTCCGAGATCCCTTCAGAAGTTTTCCATTGAGGAGGCCAACCAGGAGAGCCAGTGGGTGGACAAATTCATTGGGGGAGCAGATCTCCGGGATGCTGTTGAGATCAAAGTCAGAGTGGATCTCATCAAAGCCATCAAACGTGAATAGAACTGTATGAGGGAATTTCACAATAAAGTCAAAGACCTCTTCTGGGTCATGGTCAGGAAAACAGTTGTACTTGAACAGGAGATCTTTCAAACAGATAGCTTCATCTTGCTTAAAACAGCTGAACATCCTGCATCGGAAACGGAAAAAAAATTTGACCCCAATGTCGAACCCACCTTTCGACCACAGGTTTTGCATCTTTTGCAATAGAATAGATTTCCCAATTCCTGCATCACCAAATATGTATACTGTCTCCCCAGCTTCATTGATTAGACCAATATCATCACTCAGTAGCTCTTCCAGGTCATTCACATTACCAAGCTTCTCATTGTTGTGCTTGATAAACTCCATAATGTTAGCAGAATAAACGTCTTCAAGCAACATGTCTTCTTTCTGGGCATATGACATAACAAATTTTGTTTCTCGGCCCAGTTCATCTTTAAGTTTCTGATGATACCTGCTGACTAAAGATAAGATTTGATATTAGTGGAAACAATTCTAACACAGAATTAGAATGACAACATCATGTGGTTTGGTGTTCAGAGCCCAGAAGTGAGCCACAGAACTCCCTGAGGGAGTCGTGCCTACAGCTGGTGGCCTCTCTTACATCACAGGATTGTTCTGAGATAAGTTGAAGGGGGGCGGAGTATTGAAGGAAAGATTGGATATAAGTATAGCTAATTAATAACAACTGTACTGCAGCCAGCAACAAAACTATCAATAGCCACTTCACACACCACAAATCTATTACAAAAATAACAGCTGACTTCTAAAAGAAGGTCTAGGTTTCCGAGACAGCAGCTCTCCCTTCCCACCATGCTATACAACTTTTGTCCCTGAGAGAACAGTCAAAACAGTGTATGCTACTGCATAAGTTGTTTGAAGAAACACAAAAGTAAAAACAAAATAGCAAATCTTCTGTAAAATATAAAGCAGAACTTGGGAAACGTAGCTTTAGCACTATAATTCTCCAACTTCCTCACTCACTCACTCACCTATCTATCTGCATTTTTATTCTGCCCAATTGGCACCGAAGCTACTACTCTGGGCGGCAAACACAACCAAACATAACAATAATAGAAAGCAATAAAAAGCATCAGTAGAAAAAACATAAACTCACAGGATTCTGGGAATTGTAGTAAAATAGCAACTTTTCCAGGCTCTAGCCTAAAGTAGATTATTATGTGAAGATTTCATTTGATAATAAATTAATTTCACAGAAATCTGATGTATTTGAACAGACTTGAGCAAAGTGCTTAACTGTTCCCAATTCAGACCCCTCCCTGTTTGCTTGTTATTTTAATACAATAATCTGTTTAAAATGCTGTAACCTTTGTTTCAGTTGCAGCTGTGTTTTAATTATGCTGTGAATCATCTGGGGTCATATGATTTGAAGAAAAGCAGAACATAAATAAAACAAGACAAAATAGGGCTAGTACAATAATTTAGTTCAATATAAGCTACAGATAATCTGTTAAAATCATTGATCACAATCTTTGCTTTGTAATAAAGGTGTGCAGATTTGTGTTCTGATTTACAACTCCTAGCTTTCTATGCTAAGCTGCCTCAGGAATTCTGGGACCTGTAGTCCAAAAAGACAAAGCCAGAGTTTGTAAAATCCTTTTAGGGGAACCTTCTCCAATGCGATGCCCTCCAGATATTCTACACTGCAATGTTCATCAACATCAGCCAGCTTGGTCAATGCTTAAGAATGACAGGAGTTGTGATTCAAATTAACTGGAAAGCATCAAGTTAGGAAATTTTATTTTAGTGTTTACTTAGGATCTCAGAACAAATAAAAGATGGCTCTCCAGTTGGAACAAGAAGAAAATAAAGCTTTTAGAGAACTGATTTTAAAAAAACAAACCCAATTCCTTAAATGTGAGCGATATGTCACAAATCTACTTTTACAGCTGTCAACCATACAAAATTCTGGACATACATAAAAGAATCACATATGGTCAAATATCATACATTTCTGATCTTTTAAAAATAACATTTTGGGGTATCATAAGCAACACTGTATGCAGCTCATTTTTCCCTTCTGCTGTCTAAATCACCTGACACTGACTTGTAGCAAAAAGAAAAAGCCCAGCAATCTTCTCAAGCTCTGGGTATATACCAGGGAGAAGTCTCATTATTAATCCTTATTGTTGGTTTGTCCTAGAAAATGGTTTGTCACTAACACAAAACCAAGGGCAAGGATTTTACAAAAACAGACATTCAAAACTAGATGTCCTACCTGGGTCAGTATTTTCCACAGGTTTAGTACTAATGACCTCCGAAGGGCAAAACTGGATATCTTCAAGCCATGGACGTAGCTCATAGTAAGCATCAGAAACCTGCTGCAGGACATAGATACAATACTCTGCAACTTCCTCCCCTTTGCTCTGGGCTAGATCCAAAATCTTGCGGACCTGGGAAAAGATCACACAAAGTTTCACACATAGATTGAAGCGGTGGACAGGGGTAATGCTTCAGAAAAGCCTCAACATCTATGGACTCAAAGAATGCTGTGTAATACCATCAGCTCTTTCTCCTTAGTAGTAACACTGCACCCAAGCAAATCTGAAATCCCAAGAAACTATTGCAAAAAACAAAAAAAACAAAAAAAACACTGTATTCTGTACAAGTACAACATTTAGGACATAAAATGGATAAAATGCAACTCATTTGCTAATGATGCTGCTGAAAAGAAAGAGATGACATTTTCACTGTTGTGTAGGAAGGGATAATATAAGAGCATTTGACTCTTTTTTGAAAAATTACATGGTATTTCAAAGTGTCAAGACATGCTTTTTCATTAAGGATGAGAAAATCTGAGAATATTTATCATTTCCTTATCTTGGATCAGTTACCCAGTGTGGTGTAATGCAGTGGTCCCCAACCTTGGGCCTCCAGATGTTCTTGGACTACAACTCCCAGAAGCCTTCACCACCACCTCTGCTGGCCAGGATTTTTGGGAGTTGAAGTCCAAGAAAATCTGGAGGCCCAAGGTTGGAGACTACTGGTGCAGTGGATAGAGTGGCAGATTAGGTCTCTGGAGACCTGGGTCTGAATCCCCACTTGGCAATGGAGACTCACTGGGAGGGGGTGGAACTGGTAAAACCAGTCCTCAAATATGTCACTTACCATGGAAGCCCTATTAGGATCACTTGGGAGGGGGTGGAACTGGTAAAACCACTCCACAAATATGTCACTTGCCATGAAAGCCCTATTAGGATCACTATAAGTTGACTAAGACATGATGGCGCATAATTAAATACCTTGAATCAATCATGCTCTCTCAAACTGACCTACCTTAAGAGCTGCTTTTAGGATAGCAAGACATGTGTGCTACATTGTGCTTGCTTGTGGAATATCAATACATATGGTTGAATTGATACATTACAAAAAAAAACTAAGCAAAACAATTATTTTAAAGAAGCCATTGTTATTTCATTCAATATACCACTATTATTTTTTCAAAGTTATTGACTGGATCAGCAGTTAAAGGTGTAAATATATTTCCACCAGCACAATCCGTGCCCTGGACTATTTCTCTATATCCTGACTGAAAACTGTGGAGGACAGACATGCCAAATGCTGCTTAACCGGTTTCCCAAGCAAACCAGTCAGAGGTTGCTTGGAACTAATAATTATTAACTGGAGAAACAGCTCCAGAAGAGCTCATTCCTGCTTGTGAAAAAATTAACCCCCAAGGTTGTGAGAAAGAACTTGATGGACAGCTGTATACAGAGGAACAATTTCCTTGCTAACTGTTTGAGCCCCAGACTATTTCGCAAATTGTTGAGGAAGAGGTGTAAAAATATTTTAATATACAGAATCGCATGTCATTTTTTTAAAAAATATATACAGTTCAGTACATGACAGTCATGCACTCTTGGCTGAGGTGAGGCCCAAGCCAAATCGGTCTGCTGGCTTCTCCTCTTATAGGTCCTATGTATCTTACATCTAAAAATGTATCTACCCTTTGAGCTTTCTTCTGTGTACCTTGACAGAAAAATATTATTCACATATTCAACGGTATAATGTGACCATTCACCCTATCTTTGCCCAAAAGGCAGATGAATATGAAGTGAGCGACAAGAATGAGGGGAGAAAAATAAATGATTAAAAAAATCTTTGACCACATGAATGATGGCAAACTGTATTAAACAAGGCATGTGAATAAGCTCACAAATGTTACTTATCTGCATTGTTGTAAAGCCTGACCTGCTAATTGGTGAATAGCTGGAATTTCCATTCTGCCTAGAGCTTTCAAATTTCAGAATTCTCCAGCCATGATGGCTACAGTTATTCATGGTCACTGACATGCTGGCTGGGGAGTTTCAGGGGAAGGGGTTGACCGAAATGTTCTAAAACTCTGACCCTGCTTGCAGAGGAGTGGAGTACATCTATCCATGCCCTACAACCAGTCCATGTGAAAATGTGGTGGACTGTGTCCTGTTACGAGGCTAGAAAAAAATAAAAGCTTTTATTAAACCATCTGGCCAAGGAGAAATGGAGTTGGGGAGCAACCTTTACAGCCATCATGAAAAGGAAGCAAATATGTTCCTCCTTTGCCAGGCAGCACACTTATTCAACTGCACGGAATTTCTCATGACGTATGGCTACAAAGTGAGCATTAAATACAATATAGGCCTGCACTAAATGCTTCTGTTGTCAGGCAAAGACCTTCCTCTTCAGGCAGGCCTTTAAAACAGTGTTATCTCAGGAATGCTGGTTTGTAACCTACAGGTCTTAAAGGTTTTTCAATTGTTTTTATACTTGATTGTTTTAATCTTAATATATGTTTAATTGTTTTTTTTAATGTGATATTTATAGAGTGTTTTTAAATTTCTTATTTTACCCCTTGCAAGCTGCCTTGGCTCCCCTATGGGGAGAAAGGCAACATACAGTGGTGCCTTGCATAGCGACATTAATCCGTGCAGCAAAAATCACTGCTAAGCGATTTCGTCGTTATGCGATATTTAAAAGCCCATAGAAACACATTAAAACCTGTTTAATGCATTCCTATGGGCTTAAAACTCACCTTAAAGCGAAGATCCTCCATACGGCGGCCATTTTCGCTGCCTCTTATGCGAGGAATCCACCCTTAAACACAGCGGGCGGCCATTTTTTTTTACCCAGCAGCCGTTTTGGAACCCCGATCAGCTGTTTAAAAATCTTTGTTTTGCGATGATCGGTAAGCGAAACAGGGAAACGATCTTTGCAAAGCGAAAAAACGCATAGGAAACATCACAATGCAATCGCTTTTGCGATTGCAAAAAGTTTGTCGCTATGCAGTTTCATCGCTAAACAGAGCGCCCGTTAAGCGAGGCACCACTGTATAATAATGCAAATAAATAAGTACTGTCAGAAAGATACATATAGGCATGTTCTACCTCTGTATTGATCTTACATGAATAACAGTTCACATTTTGGACCGGAGCTGAGGAGACCCAGATACAAATCCACACTCAGATGTGCAGTTTGCCAGATGACCCTGAATCCATTGCTTTTTCTCTCCTCCCAACCTCCCTCCTTTCCTGCTGCTAGCAGTATAAAATAGAGGTGGGAAAGGACGATGAATGGTACCCCTGAATTCCTTGAAAAAAGAAAGGGAATCAATGAAATAAATACATAGTATTTTAGAACTAGGAGGGCTTTGTCTCATCCCCTTAACAACCCCAGCTTAATGTAAAATCTACAGCGTGGCTTGCTACTATGGCATCCCTGACAAAAGGTACCAAACCTCTATCTAAAGCTTCTAGTAAAGGAAAGCTCTTCACCTCCTGAAGTGTAACCTGTTTTACACCGACCCTGTAAGGGAGGCTGGTACTTATTTTCATACTAGGAAGGCAGAACGAACACTGGTTCACTCAAGCAGGAATAGAAACTCCAGAGGGTTTAGGGACCACACCTATCCCATTCCTTACCCCCCCAAAAAACAGAAGTAAACAGAAGGGAACTTCCATTTCTTTTAAAATGCTCCAACCAATTCTGTGTTTCTGGGCAGGTCTTTTCAGTAATTAGGGTCTCTGGAGGCTCCAGAGGAGTCTTGCAGGCCACAGAAAAGGCCTTCATGGGCTACATAAAGCCCACAGGGTGCACAATTTCACTCCTGTTTAAGTCACTTAATGGATTCATCACTCAAGCAAGATTTGAACACATCAATTAAGGGTTTTAAGGCATGACACTAGTCCTTAGTAATTTACCAATTATACTTTGCATGCATTACAGCTGAGGGTAAGACCAGAGGGAATGCCAATACCTTGTCGGCTTGGGTCGGATACTGCGCCGCAATCTCTGCATCTTCAGTTGAGAAATATTCATTCTTCAGCAAGTTGTCAATCAAACACTGGGTATTACGGACTCTGCCGACTAGCAGTTCTCTATGGATTTTCAGGAGGCTAATGAAGGACGGTGGACTGTCTGCTCTAGGCATCTGCTGTATAATCTCCACATTATTAGCCATTGTGATGACAGTAAGAGGCTGGACTTTCCAAAATCATCTTTAGGACACTTAAAGAAGGGCAGCAGTTTCAAGCAAGGCACATCAATATACTTTTTGCATATTATCTATGAAGATAATAATAAAAGGCGGAAATTAATAAAACTTGCTAGTTTGTTTGTTTGTTTATTGAGCTTATACGCTGCCCATTTAGAGATACAGTAGTCTACTCTGGGTGGCTCACAAAACACGTAATAAAAACTGTTAATATAAAATAATAAATTCCAACATTAATACAAAAACAGAATAAATAAAGATAAAGAAAGAGAATTATGTAGTGACTGGGGGGAAGGCCTGTCTATATAACCAGGTCTTGAGTTGGGTTTTGAAAATGGCCAGCGAGGGGGCCAGATGAATCTGGGGGGGGGGAGCCTGTTCCAGAGCCTGGATGCTGCCAGCTTAGACTCCGGTGGCTTTATGGGGCTGGGAGGGGGTCCACCTATTGACGGGGATGGTGCAATGCAGTCACGCAGCCCCCCTCTCCCCTCTCCCTCCTTCCTTCCTTCTCTCTCTCCCCCTCTACTGTTGTGACATGCCCCGGCCACATTCCGGCCGCAAGTGCCGGCAGTGTAACTTGAAACTTTGGAATTACTTTAAAAATAAAAAATTGCACTGGGACGCATTACGAGCTGACCTGGGCCGCATGCGGCCCTTGGGCTGCGGGTTGGACAAGCCTGGTTTAGGGCTTTGTATGTGATCATTAGAACTTTGAAATCAACGCAGAATCAAATGGGCAGCCAATGCAATGCGACCAGAGGAGTAATATGTTGATGTTTCTTCACCGCACTAAGAAGTCTGGCCGCTGCATTCTGCACCATTTGGAGTTTCCGCATTAATCTCAAAGGCAGCCCCATGTAGAGCGCATTGCAGTGGTCTAATCTCGAGATTACGAGCACATGGACCAAGGTGGTGAGTGCACCAACATCAAGAAAGGGACACAGCCAGGCAATCCGCCAAAGATGGAAATAGGCGGTGCGGACCACTGACGCCACCTGAGTTTCCATGGTGAGCGCTGGGTCCAGATGTATCCCCAAGCTGCGAACTTCATTCTTAGCAGTGAGAGTCACACCCCCCCCGAAAGAGAGGGAGTTCCCCAAACCACTGACAGTGGGTCCACTGTCAGTTATTAAAAGAGGCATTCAAGTAGAATAAAAATGGTACCTCTAAACACTGATGAAACCAGTCTTTAGAGACAAATGCATGTCCCATGATTATCCCCCCTCCCCCCTCCCTCCCCCCCTCTCTCTTGAATGAGCAAGATGTTACTGGTTGTTTTACTGGGGGGAGTGGAGACAGTTTAACTGAAGGCAGACGTTCTCCCTTGATCTGAAGGTATTATGGAAAAGGAGTGGTACATGGAATGTGTCTCCTGTTACACTTTTGCCCCAAAGAGTTTTGCAGGCTTTTATATTATTTTAAAGGTACTAAAAACCTGACTGATCACAGACAGGAGTGGACAGGGTATATGTGGACACTACAGGAAGTGAACCCTTTGTCAGACCACATTCAAAACAGTTGCCCTTCTTAAACAATTTGCTTGCAACTCTCTGTTTAACAGGTACAAAATAAAACGGTGGTCATGAACCTGTAGCTATCCAGCTGTTGGACTACAACTCCCATCACCTCTACCGTCCATGCAGGTTGGGGTTAATTATGGTCAGAGTCCGGCCAATATGTGCTCTCCATTTCTGCTCGCACTGCAAAGCAGGGATGAGTACATACATGACCCTCCGGTTGTTGCACTCCGGTTCAACAACCCAATAACAAGGGATGATGGGAGCTGCAGACTAGATGGCCAGAGGTTGCAAATCCCTGCTATCAAGAAAGGATCTATGGTTCAAACACAGTCATTGGGAGTTATTGCCCCAAAATACTATTAGAGATTTACAAAAAAGGAATTGTTCAAAAGGAATAGCATACTATATGTTGCTGTTACTAAACGACAGGGAGCCAGTCATGTGTCAGCCATATATCAGATCACATATGTGCCCGACACATTTCTGCAGCCTTGACAATTAGCTGCAGCAACTTCAGCAGTTCCCCTTGCGTGTATGTAGGTATTCTATTTATCTACTCGCATTTGCATGCTTTCGAACCGCTAGGTTGGCGGGAGCTGGGACAGGCGACGGGTGCTCATTCCGTCGCGTGGATTCGAACTTACGACTGCTTGGTCTTCTGACCCTGCAGCACAGGCTTCTGCGGTTTAGCCCACAGCGCCACCACGTATTTACAAAAAAGGAATTGTACAAAAGGAATAGCATACTATATGTTACTGTTACTAAATGACAGGGAGCCAGTCATGTGTCAGCCATATATCAGATCACATATGTACCCAACACATTTCTGCAGCCTTGACAATTGGCTGCAGCAACTTCAGCAGTTCCCCTTGCATGTATGTAGGTATCCAACATGAATTTGGCTCCTGTTTTCTTCATCTAACTATATCTTTTCTGTGTGTATTTAGCCAAAGTGCATATGAAGAAAACGATCCTTTTGTTTAAAACAATGCACACAGACACTGAGGGACTGAATGAGTGTGCTAAAGTGGTCTGACACTAAGAGACTGTCTAGTGGTATATTCAGAGAGCTGGGATTTGCCCAGGGAGATCTGGGTTCAAATCCCAGCTTGACTGCAAAATGTACTAGGTGATCTTGAGCCAGCTGTTCTTTCTTGCAGGGTGGCTACATCAGAAGATGAGGGAGGAAATGGGACTGTGAAGACCCCCTAAGTCAAAGGATGGTTCACTTTCCTCACACTGAATCCTGGCACTGAGCCCTGTCCTGTCCATCCTTTCATACCTCTTTGAACAAGAACATTCTATTGTCACCATCACATTGAAGGCGGTTCAGTTTGCTCTTCCTGGCAGTTTCAATGACCCAGTGATTTCCTTCTTGTAATTATAGAACAGCTAGTCCTTATGGTGCCAACTTTTTTTAAATTTTGTTTTTGCATGTTATTTCATTACGTATTTTTGGTATTACAAAACTGTTTCGAATGGGATTCTGTGGGTATTCTCTGGACAGCAGTCACCCTCTTTTTGTTAACAGATCAGAGTACAATACATGGAGGGGACACATATACAGAAAACATAATCTGTTACTTAAAAGGTGTGAACACAGGAGTATGTGCAATAATATCACTCTCCTCTTATAACTCCTCTGCACTGCCTGCTTTGTCCTTCTGGCACTTCTGCAGCTGCCTCTCCCAAGCACATGCAGTGTTCCAGGGGAACGAAGGTAGGGCAGGGAGGTTAGAAAACCACAGGAATACAGTTTAAGAGAGTTGTGAGATCAGAAAGTAAGATCCTCAACTTGTCAACATACAGGCAAGGCAGGTACTTGCAACATCATTTGGAAGTCACCAAACAGACTGGTAATTATTGCACAGACACTGTGCTAGAACCATGTAATATGGAAAAGAATGGGATGACTCAGCCCTGGCAAACACAGTAAAACATTCTCTGCAGCTAAAGACTGGATGGTTTCGCTCTAAACACAAGCTGACGTCCTTAACGGAGAAATACACAGACAACAGCGTCACAATATCTCCAAACAGCAGCCTTATCTGAAATGAAGCTTATTTAATTAGTATATAAGCCTAGTGCAAGACCTATAATTTAATCATCTGAGAATTAAACTTCTAAAGAAAGAGAGCAGACCTCTTACATATACACTGTGGATTTGCAATTTGCTTCTAAATTATGTTTTCCTTACCACTGCTGAGAATTTCAGCTTGTTGCTGCTTTAAAAAAAAAGTTTAAATAATCAGAGACCCCAAAGTTGAAAACATTACCCGAAAGAGTGGCATTAAGGCTTCTATTCATACAACTTAAATTGTTGAGATAATTATTACTAAAAAAGAAATGCTCCAACTTTATGTAAGGATAGTTAAAAATGTCAGGGATATGAAAATTATGGGCAGAGAGAACAAACGCTGAGTTGCAACTATGGCTGATATGGACACCTTTTAAATGCAAAGATCTATGCAGCAGGCGGTCCAGAAAAATAATATATATTTGTTTTCTTTTTTAAAAAATATTAAAGCAAACCAAAAAAAGTCACAGGCTAGCCAAAACAAAATAACAAAAAACGAACAACCCCCCCACACAATTAGAGCTGTAAAAATATGTGATAGTTCCTCGTTGTCATAAATTTAGGGTGCAACAGCTATTCAATTTTGCTGTGGGTAGATTCGCAGCCTGTATTACATTTGAAATTGTAGTCAGTGCTCACACAAGGGCTAAGGATTGATTTGGGAGTTAACCATTCATACAAGATGCAATGTGATTCACAGTCCAGTTCAAACCCACCCTTCTTTCCTTCCTTCCCCTGGTCCCACCTCTGCCAATTCTTTTATGGGGTATAAATACATAAAATAACAATAACAAGGACCCAGCAATAAGGACATAGAGTGATCTAGCACTAATCTCATGTATGTACGATTAAAAAAAATTAAAGAAATTTGGAGGGCGATCAAGGGAGAAAAAAGAATGTGGGATATGTTACCCAGTCCTGAAACATCACACCCCAACTGCCAATGTCAATAAAACACCATCTACAGACATACCTCCTGTCTTTACAAGAATGCATCACAACAAACCACATATGGGGGAAAAATGTTGGAACTGCTCCAGCTTGAAAAAGCAGAAGCCCCCCCAGTGGCAGAAAAGAAAAACCTCTTTGAGAGCAAATCAGCCTTTGTATCATGTGGGCAGTAAAGATTACCTTGAATTCACTTGTTTTATAAGCAAAGCATATTCCATGGTATTTGACCATGAGTTACAGCCCTCAACTGTTTTGACTTCAATTAGGAGTTTTCAAGAATTATGAGATTTCTCCTCCATCATGATAGTAATATCCAGCATTATAGAAATACATACCTACCTACCTACCTACCTACCTACCTACCTACCTACCTACCTACCTACCTACCTACCTACCTACCTACCTACCTACCTACCTACCTACCTACCTACCTACCTACCTACCTACCTACCTACCTACCTACCTACCTACCTACCTACCTACCTACCTACCTACCTACCTACCTACCTACCTACCTACCTAC